ATAATTCGATGTTTAATTTGTGTCCCAGCCGTTCTATTCATGATTTGTTCTAATCATTGCTAGAGAATAAATTTTGTGTATTACTCTTGCGAGAAAATTTGCAGTTGAGCCAGGGAGATTATCCTACTCTGCGTCAGTACCAAGAACTTTATGTTAATATCAATTTAAATGATGAAGTTACAGAAAGCTCAAACAGCATTAATGCTACTGAAGGAAATACTGTTGTTTTTTTTTTTTTGTGGAATTGCAAACAAAGAAGATTTATTTTCCGACCATTAGGGGTCAAATACTTCTGTATTTTACTCGATGAACGAATATTTACCGAAGTAATGAATTGTATCAGGAGTTAATAGAAAGAATACCATTAGAAAGACTTTTTGGAGGATGGAAAGAATGATTTCTCACTTCTGAGTTACTTCTGAGTCACTTATTTGCTTCAGCGGAAAAACTGCGTCCGTAAAACTACATAGTGACAATATTTGAGAAATTTCCTTCAGTAAAAAAAATTTGCTCATTTCGTTTCCACATAAAAATTGTTTGATCGTTTTTCAATACAAGCATGACTCCAATGTTTGCTTTTTAAAATTTAATATAGCAGTTATATGTGTTATAATAACTGCTATATTAAATAGATTTCAGCATTATTTCTTTGTAACAGTGGAAAACATAACTTGCATTTTGTAGGAAGTATCATCATAAAAAAGCAAACATTAGAGTCATGCTTCAAGTAATAATGTTAGCAGGTTTCATTAAACATCTAAAACTGCTCGATAAATACGCTGCATCCGACTTTTGAAGTTTTTGACATTACAAGCTTTAAAAATTGCGTTTCTGTAACCTACTGCAATTTGAAAAATTTCCATTTAAAAAATTTCGAAGTCATGTTACTTTCCAAAATTGCTATTCACGAAGACTTCGGGGAAAAAAGCGCATGAGCTATCGAGAAAGAAAATAATAACAATAATCGAACTTCATATAATAAAGAACTACGTCAAAAAATTCATATTTGATTGCTTCCGTGTTTATTGAGTGATATTTCAAAAGAAAAACTAACTTTCTGGAATGTCCTGAGTTTATAGATCAAAGTTTGTGCTCCAGATGCTTCCTATACTGCTTTTGCGTGAAAATTTTCAATTGTATGTGATGAAACCATTACTGATTAAAGGCTGATAAAGTACTGCCCTCTTAGTAAGCATGTTTTTGGACGGGACAGAAGACATGTTCTAGACGATGACATTATGATATGCATTTGAGATTCTCATTCAGTATTTTGTGCCATTGTACGATGGATGGAACAAGAGAACAGGCAGTATTTTAGACTCTAATGCGATGCCATCGTTTATTTCATGCCACCCAAATGGAACCAACTCTTCTCTTCCCCTCCTGCAAATCAACAACACATCGCTCATTTTTTGTTTTTAACTGTTCAAATATTTTATCCTTTTGTAAGTTTACTAACTCGTTTAGTTCAAGGAATAGGAAATGATCTTAAAAAGCATTCTTGTTTCTTGAAAAGTTTATCATTTTTCAAATAAAATTACAAAAACTAATCCTCACCATTGAAAAAAATTGACTTCAGAATAATCCTTTACATATATCCGAATGGCTGGCCATAATCTCGCTAACAACTGCTTTTTAAACTTACATTTACAATTTATCATTCTTGATGTCCATTTAATATCAATAATAAAATGTTTAGAAAAGAGGTTATAGCTATTTCAAGCTTAAAAGTGAGACAGATTGCTGAAACAGTGTTGGAATCCACTCCTTTCAGATGATATTATCTGGAAAACAATGTCCGTTCCCGACATTAAGTAAATTTGAACAAAAGTGAGGTCACGTAAGAATTTCATTTTAACATGCCTTTGCTCCTTTATCCTTTTCTAAGTTTACTTACTCGTTTAGTTCAAAGAATACAACATTTCAGCTTAAACTGTAAAGATATAACCATTTATTGACACTAACATGAACGAAAACGGTAGCTGTTACCATCAACAAAAAAGAAGATAAACTCAGTTACCTGTTCCGGAAGGTTATGAGTGAAATACCATTTAGTCACAATATTCAGATTACCTAAATCTATAAATTTTTTCGCTGAGGTTAGTGGAAACACTTCAAATTTCCAGGTTTTTAGTACATTATCCCCAAGAAGCTGCGAACCGGTAAGCACATTACCACCACTAATTCTTCAAATATCTTAGTTGGGAGCGGTTAAATGTTAGAGAGCTGCAAGAACAGTATCCGACAAGGGAAAAAAATCGATAATCCCAACAATGATTTTTCCTGAAGTTCACCAACGCACTGTATTTCCGGGTGTGGCTTCGACGAGGCATTCAACATTAAAACAAAGATTCTTTAAGTGTAAACTTAGCAGTTGCATATATTTGCAGAAACCGGAAAAGGCGTACGCTTTTTCCGGAAAGTTATGAATTATAAGGACTCTATTCTATCCATTTCAAAGTTTCCAGATTTTAAACCGGTTGGAGTTGAGTTTTGTTTTTACTCGTACAAGGGGACGTAATAGTAAGAGCGAGAAGGCTGGAGAAATTAAGTTAGAAAAAACGTGTACAGTTCTTTCCGAAAGCCAAGGACAGAAATCCGTACTTCCCGAATGCTTCCGACATTAGAATCACTTGGTTGCAAAATTCTCTCTTAGATCCTTATAGAAGATAGACTGCTCTCAGTTGATCGGTAAGTAGACTATCAATCCATGTCACCTCTGCATCCGATATAGAGCCGTTATAACTCGCGATTTCGATGATGTTAAGTTCCAGCTGGTCAGGCAATATGTCCGTAATATTCTGAGCTAGCTTCGTTAGCCTTTCAAATTTCCAGTTATTCCCAAAAGAAAATCTATTCTCTTCTGAAAATTTTTCAGAAGTAACCTGCTTATTCCGGTTTTTCTGCTCCTCTCATCCCATGTACACACATCTTCACATCTGTCTAACACGTGGTCGGTTTTTATATGAACACTTGTAACATCTATTCTCGTCTGAAAATTGGAGAACTTTCAAGCAAATTATTCGGACTGGATATTTAAGAATATATCAAAATTCTTACTTATGACTTTTCGGAATGAGTCATACATTCCTTTCCCGTTTCTCTGACCCTCTCTCATTGTTGGATATGTGCAGAACATCTTTTCATGACTCTATAACAGCTAACTACAACTTTGTTCAGAAAAAATTAGATTATACCTAAAGATAGACGGCGTGCCTTAAATACTCATGATGGAAGTTTTCTTCCTCCGAGATTTTCAGGAAAAGCTGCGTTGCTGTTTTTTTTCTCCATTTCTGTAATGGTTTGGGTGCATATCCGAATTGGTCTTTTCGCAGTTGTTTAACATTCGGTCATTCCATTAATTCGATGACCTTGAAGTCCAATGTATTGCAACAGGGATGTTAAGAGTGGCGAAGACCGAAGAATATTGTCCTATCTCCCCTTCTCCTCATTTACTTTATTCTTTACGATTTACATCTTCTTGGAAAAGTTGGATAGGCCTTCTTGATCTACTTGCTGTTAATGTTGGGATGCAAATTAATTTCTGTTTTCTACGATTGAACCAGATGAGCTGACATCATGGAAATTCCTAGTAGTTGGCTCTCAATTCATAAACTGTCAGGAAGAGCTGGATAGATTACTAGTGGATACATAAGCAGTGATGTGAATAGGCCATTATTACAGCTGGGAGGCTCTGTAAGAGAACAAAATGCAGAAAATATGCTTACGACTTACCACGACACACAGCTTCCGAGAGAGACAGACTTCGCTAGCTTCTTTGTTAATTGATACGAGCAAAATATGATGGGAATCTTTCAAAAAACTTGTTTGTTTAAAAATGGCAGTAGTTATCAAAAATAGTGGCATAATGCAGGTATGAAACCTCAAACAAAGCACTCATGGATCATCACTGAATATATATTGTAGGAATGGCTCGACATCAAATTATGGACCCACCGTTCAGTGGACGTATTCCAGTAATTCCTTTTTTACAGATCAGGTCATATGTAATTTCTCGTTTTTTGAGAACGATTAGATTCAATTTCAAGATTAGATGTTTGAAATTGCTTAAATCGGCCTCCTCGGCAGCGTATTTCGCCCAATATTATCTTTTTTTCCGTATTGAACTTTGATCTTCCCGATATTAATTACATTTCTTTTCTTTACATCTCTTGAAATGTTAAGATACATTGCAAAAACATTCAAGCACTGCTAATATTATTCATCCATGCCCCCTATGCATACGTTTCCGTTCCTAGCTGCGTATTTCGAATTTATGGACCGTCTACACAAAGTAGTATGACATGAGAAGTGACCGCTAAGCAAACTTTCCATTCAACTGCTAGCTCTGAATGATTCAAATTTAATGTCTACGAAACAGATGCTGGATATTGGGGAGAGAAACGTATTGGCGGGATTATTGTGACCAGGCTTTTTGAGGCGATCATCAACGAGAGGGAAATAATGTTTGTATGGGGGTGTTGACCGCAGAAGTATTGCTAGGGACACTGACTATCACATCATAGAAATGAACCTTATCAGTTTATATTAGATACCCTTTGTCATATCGCTGATGGCCCGATCGAATCACTGATAAGGTCCATTTCTATAACGTTAACTTACCTGTCCTCGTGTGTTTTTAAATTCTTTCCTTATGGATGCATTTTTTAAATGAGATTCGGAAATAAATACGCTACTCTGTCTTTCTTCCTTCAGTGCCATTAAAATACACCTCTTAATATACCCTTAATGAAAAATTGATTCATTCTATACTCATACTTACATTTCCGTAACAGTGCATAGAAATGATTAAAAAAATAAGCTTGAATGATTCAAAGTTCATATCCTGTTCGAAAGACTGCACAACCTTCCTCACGTCCTAAAGATACGTCGACGTCTGGGTGGTCTTGCTACGCAATTTTATACAGTGCATTCTGATATTCAAATTTGTATCTAATTTTGTTTTAGTCAAAGGGTAAATCCAGTTAAGGATTTCCGAGATGTGTGGGATTTTTGCTTATTTAAACTTTTTAACGCCAAGAAAACGGAGCGAAATTATTGATGTGCTGCTCAGGGGCTTGCACAGGATGGAGTATCGTGGCTATGATTCTGCAGGTACAGGTACCAAATGCAAAGAATTTCGAGCTTTGTAGAGCAGGAACTGAATTTTGACAAAAATATTTCGTATGAGGTCTGTCGTCATCGTCAAAGAAAGTTATTCCGCGTATTTTCTATATTATGTTAACAACGTAATTACTGTGACGTCCAGGTAGTAAGCACAAACATTTCACGGTCTTAAAATCTATAAATTTCTCCTTTTTTCATAACGCAAAGTTTCATTTAAATTCAAAGAGTAGATAGTTTAGGACTTGCTGTGGATGATGAAGTGGATAATTCTAAAATTGGTTCGAAAATAACTCTTCTGAAGAAAGTTGGTAAAGTCAGCGTACTCGAAGATTACGTAAAAGGTATATATTAAATAATGGAATGATTTAACCTCACAATTCTTTGGCGGTCATAATTATGTGCTCGTTTCTGCTGACTTAAAATGCTTATTTAAATTAAAATTTCTCTGAGACATATTTAGAAAGCCATATCTGCAACGATGATATTATCTACAAAACACACTGTGGCATCGCACATACGAGATGGGCTACACACGGTTCACCCAGAGATGTCAACTCTCACCCGCAAAGATCAAATACTCAAAATGGTATATTTTTCTTGTACGGTCCATAGCTAGTGAATATAACGTGGTATCTACTAACATTCCTCAATTTCATCTTGAAGTAGCTATTGTTTTAATTATACCTTCCGAGTTATTGCAGAATTCTTGGTTGTCCATAATGGTATAATAACGAACTACCGCGAAGTCAAGGAATATTTGATGAAAAAAGGCTATGAATTTGAGTCAGAAACTGATACCGAAGTAATCGTAAAATTGATTCAACATGTTACAAACAAATGTGAAGGAGCTAATTTCCGTCAGCTTGTTGAGGCTACCATCCAACATCTTGTTAGTAATTCAAACTTACATTGTTATTTATTATAAACAGTTACAGGCATTGGTCTTTCATTTTCATTATTGCTATAATCCAGTTTGAACTGAAGTGGTTACTACGAAAGCTTCATATGTATCTAATTTCGGTTGTGAATATAAAAACTATCACATTTTGGGAAGGCGCATTTGCATTAGCATTCAAAAGCAATCGTTTTCCTGGTCAGCTTGTGGCAACACGACGTGGTAGTCCGCTTCTTATTGGAATCAAAACCACAGGAAGGCTATCTACTAATCATTTTCCAGTATTTTTTAGTAAAGGTGAGCTTGTATTGTTTTCAAAGATTCTATTTTTTTACTAGCAATCAACAAAGTCAACGTTCAACTGCTTAATTTTTTGTTTTTCAATATCAGCTCTTAAGCTACTCAAAATAATCGTTTCAAATTCCAAGAATTTTTTAGCTCGTCGCTTCATATCTTCTGAATACGCCAATGAATCGTATATGGAACCATCAATGGTTATCGAAACAGGATTCAAAACAAGTACACCCATCAGAGGAGGGAAAGGTCATTTGTTTCTATAACATATGTGAAAGCTCTCGTTTGCATAGTTAGCTTCTGTGTTGAATATTAACTCATAAAAATGCTTTCCAGAGCCCAGTGAGGCGGCATTCCAAATTCTTGATTATAAAGAAGCAGAATATTTTGTTGCATCTGACGCAAGGTAACCCTTTGAATCATACATTCATTTCATACTGTTTTATCAAATCATCCTTTTGTCAGGTATGACGAAATAGAACTGAAATATTGCAGTAGCTTTATCGTTACACCATTCATTTTACGCTGTTTTCAATTTTGAAGTTGAAAGCTTTGAATAGAAGCAGATTTTCTGTTAGCCATTTATATTGTTGTTTAGCGCAATTGTTGAACATACAAAGCAAGTTATCTTTCTTGAAGACGATGATGTAGCTGTGATCGAAAATGGATGTTAGCTTTTGTCTCTTTGTATCCGAGCGAGACCATTGATCGTTACTTTTACCACAATGTTGACATGGTTAAGACTTCAGGAATAATTATTAATTCTAGAAAAAGCATCAACTTTTTTTCGATCATAAAAACTCGATTTAAAGTTTCATGTAACATTTTGCCTTTTAGCATTATCAATACATCGCATAAAACGTGGAGATGAAATTCCACAAACACGTGAGGTTCAAAATTTAACGTTGGAACTGCAGCAAATAGTGATGGGTGATTTCAAAACATTCATGCAGAAGGAAATTTATGAACAGCCAGATTCCATCGTGAATACAATGCGGGGTCGTATACTTGATGATGGTACGGTTGTTCTGGGAGGCATAAAGGTCTACTTTTTCAAAATGGTGCTAGTATCTTACACATATCGTTCATTTATCAGTTAATCATTTTAAATTTGAATTCTGCTGTTATCAGCTCAATAAGGGTAAGAGATAAAATATTTGCTGTAAGCTTCTGAAGTAGATAGAGAAGAAAAAGTAATTTTTTCACCGAAATATCTTACTGAAGTTAAGGATTCGTAGCTTTAGCGGTAAATGGATTAAATAGGAACAAAAAGATTTACACTGATAACATCCTTTGATGAGGAGATTGGTGCCTGTCTCTCCATTAAACAATGATGTGGTGAGTCAGACGACATTATTGTTTGTTTTATGTATATATATATATATATATGGGTACACATTGGTATTTCAGGACTATTTACTGGACATTAAACGATGCAGGCGACTAATTTTGGTAGCATGTGGCAGTTCGTACCACTCAGCCCTTGCGGTAATTTTTTTTAATAAATAGATCAGACTTAGTTACTTCCTTGCTACCGCATATATAAATTGATGTTTGTTTTCTAACTCACGAAATTGAGTTCAAAAACTTGTAGTGCCGACAAATTATGGAAGAATTAACAGAACTACCAGTGGTATTAGAGTTGGCCAGCGACTTCTTGGACCGCGAAACACCGATATTTCGTGACGATGTTTGCTTTTTCATATCTCAGAGCGGTGAAACAGCAGATACTCTGAACGCTCTAAGGTCAGTACTGTTTGTTCTATCTTGATGTTCTAGCTGACCTCTATTTTTTTCTGTAAATAATTACAACATTTTGATAATAGATTTTCCAGATACTGCAAGCCACGAGGAGCACTAACAATAGGTATTACAAACACGGTTGGAAGCAGCATTTGTCGTGAGACACACTGCGGAGTTCACATCAATGCTGGTCCTGAAGTTGGTGTTGCCTCAACTAAGGTCCGTAAAATTAATCCAATGACTCCGAATTATAGATTATATTGCTAAAAGAAAATCCAAGAGAAAATCATACATTATTCAAAAATATTGAGATAAGGTGGTTATAGGCATACACTTCGCAAATTTTATCGCTAGTGATGTTCGCTTTAACAATGAGTGACGATCGTATCTCGATGCGAAAGCGTCGTGATGATATTATCAGTGGATTGCGACAGTTACCAGGTTAACATTTTAGTCGAGCTTATTAGAAGGTGAATAAGGATCATAATGATGAAATTTTTACGTTATTGTTGTTTTCTTAAATATTCATTCTTCAATGAGAAAAAAAAGCAAATTTGACGTAAGAGACCTCATATCATATTGTGCTTCATTAAATGATTAGCATCGCTGATAAACTGAAATCCCTAGGAAAAACGAAAAGAATAACGACTTGTTGCAGACTTAATTCGAGAAGTTCTAAAACTTGATAGTGAAGTACTTGAAATAGCGAAAAAAATCTACAAGGAACGGTCACTTCTGATAATGGGTCGCGGATATAATTTTGCTACTTGTCTTGAAGGTGCATTGAAAATTAAGGTATGTATTGTAGAAAAGAATGTTCCAATTAGAGCCGAAAACTCTATTCAATTGGTTTTTTTTTGAATTAGAAGTAATTTGCAGGAGCTGTCATATATGCACTGTGAAGGAATAATGAGCGGTGAATTGAAACACGGTCCACTCGCAATGGTTGATAAAAATCGCAGCATCGTCATGATCATCTGCAGCGATAATGTTTACAATGTAATTATATGTTACAGTTGCAGAAAACTTTTCCAAAATTGAAGTTTTACAAAATCTGTCGAAAAAAATGCATTCATGTCTTTCTATATTTTCAGTATTATTGATTTTTTGACATAAATATGGCTTCTGATTTAGAAATCAATCAATGCGTTGCAACAAGTGCTTGCTCGTGATGGGGATCCCATTATTATTGCTGACTTCGATGTACCTGAAAACGACGTGAAAGGTAGACATTCTGTGCTTCGTGTTCCAAAGACAGTGGATTGCATCCAGAATATTCTTACCGCCATTCCTCTGCAATTGCTCAGTTACCACGTTGCTGAATTGAAAGGACTAAACGTGAGTTCTATTCAAAGGTTGCATTCTCATATGTATTGGCAAAACCTTCATTCCTTAAAGGAGTGGGTATCATGGTAGTTGTTACGCATAGTCCATGGTATCTAGATAGATCTGCCTTTCAGGTTGACCGGCCACGCAACCTAGCCAAATCAGTCACTGTTGAATAATAAGCCAACAGTATCCAGCTTCCTAATTTCGAGCAAATCAAATCTGTTTTGTAATCCCATTTGACCAAAAAACTTTCGAAATTCACATTCTCAATGTGATTCACTGCATAACTAGGGACCAACATTTCGTACTTCCGCCTCCCTTTCACTCCACACCCACAACAGCTAAAACCTCAGTGATAAAGTGTTAGAGACGCTTACATCTATAACTGTCCTATTATTTGGGAGTGTAAACATATCTTCCCCTTACCGAACATTAATTCTTTGTAATGGCTCCCTTGCCAAAATTTGACCTTAACATAAATTTGGAGTTTTCCTCCTTGCTCAGCACTCTTTTGTGAATCTATTCAGTTGGACCAAATAAATTATTTCAAACAGTATAGCTTGTTCGATGAAACCATATATATAATCCTCATCTTAGAATAATTAACTGGCTCACTAGCTAAGCATAATGTAGCGCTTCAATATTCATATACTACAAGGAGCTTATTAAAATAGCTGATTCATGCACCTCCTCAGAAAAAAACTATTTTCATTACTGCAGCAGTTGAGACTGAAATAAACCAGTTAAGTTAATAAGTTATTGAACATAGAAATCACAAAGCTTTCGTAGCACTTATATTAAAATGCACCGTCTAAAAAGATACACATTTAACTGAACAGGAAGTGTTGAGGATTCCCTATTTATTAAAATTGATTAGTAAACCCCACACTGACGGCGCATCCCCTTGGTCCTATCTTTCCTCCCAACAGAAAGTCGTACTGGACTCTGATTTGTGTGACCTAAATTTGACCGTTAGAAGGTCATAAACTACCTCAAACCGAACAAACATAACAACGATAGTGATCACAAAAATAGGGTGATGATGATGGAGTTTCACAAGAACAAGGTTGTTAAAAAAATGTGAAGCTGCTTTTAGCAACCTGCAATTCAGGAGCAAAGGCAGACGTCACTATGTAGTCCACAGATGCCTTCGGTGATTTATGAAATTCACTAATTCCTAAAGAAAAACATCAAGAGATCTTGAAGGGTTATGTAACATTCATTAAATAACAGACAGCTCCTACGTAATGCTATAATGAAAAAGTAATCAGAATTCTAATCGAACGTGTCTCTTTAATTGACGCCTAAACCACATGAATATGGGCGTTTTGATAACTTAATCATCCTAATCAAGATAACATCAACATCAAATGCAATTGTCCGAGGCTGAAAGATTCAGAAAAAACAGTATAAATTAATTCATACAAAAAACTGAGTAAAACTGGAGATATCTGAACGCTAATAGGTATAAGCGAAAGAAGACAAGGAACAGGACGGGGATCCTGCCATAAGTATGAGCGAGTTATCAATCATCAGAGTCACACAAATCGATCACCTCACTGGGAGCAAATGAATTTTGTTCCTTTCCCGCCTTGTCTGAAACAAATTTGTCAAACAACGTATTTAAAAATTCATTGAAAACATCTGATTAATATTTACGCCTGAATAATAATATTTGACATGAACAATACGCACTGAACTCTAAAGTAATTAATTAAAAGGACTGACATGTCGGCTTGTCATAAGCTGTACCACGGGCATCATAAACATCACCACGCAATGATCGGATGAAAACCCCACTCGGTAAAGTGACCAACCAGCATCTCTCATGTAGTGCAACCTTCCCCTTTCGTCCGGGAGAAGTTAAGCATGGAAGCTCCATTTCTACAAAAAAGTGGAAACAACTAGAAATCATCAACAGAAATCGTCACAAAAACTGGATCCTCAAAATAAAGAGCATTCCTTTTTATTCAAACACGAGAACATACCTATCTCGCTGATGATCTGTATGGCATGTCCGTTAGGATGGTCTTCTGATGACGCTGTAGCTTCCTGACTAGGGTCCTGATTATGCGAATTTACTACGGTGCGTTCAAGAACCATTGCCATTGGTGTTGATCGAAGTGGCATTGGACCGTGCTGCCTAGAGACTATGATTTATTATTTTAAGCCACTCTTACAGCAATCCTAACATGGGAAAAAAATTGAAAATTTACGATGTTGAAGACCACATTCTTGGGAATGGCATTCGTAGACTCTCGAATTCATTGTTACGACCAACACCACGTAGCGTCCAATCATAATCAAAATCTCCATTTTTGTAGATTTGTTTTTCTCTTTCATAAAGCATTCTCGCTTCGAGCTTCTCTTCCTCGCTTAAGCGATCTTCTCTCTCCATCATCAGGCTCTCGTGCAGGAATGGGATCTAGTAAAAATCAAAATCATAAATCTGATGGAAAAACGAATACTAAAATATTTGAGCAGTTAGTTCTAAATGAAAAAATTGAAAATTAAGAAAAATTTTACTTGAGCAAACATTTTTGAATGAGATAAAGCTGTCATCCAAAGCAAAGCGTCATCAATCTGCCAAGTAGTTACGTTCCAATCTTCTGTAGCCACATCAAGTGCCTCCTAAAATGAAAAGTCGTATATATCATCTGCAGAACGATTATTCTCAAACATCAAGACAACATGAATCACACCTAGTAATAGTTGTTACTTTTATTAAATCCAAAAATCGTATAATAAGCATACATCAATAAATTGAGATACTTACGTCGTAGACAAGAAGTTGTTCCAATTCACGCTTCGTAATGTCAATGTCCATCTGCTTATCATCCACAACTCTCTCTACAAATGTAAATGTTTAAAAATGTGTTTGAAAGTAACCAAGAAACTAAAAGATATGACAAAATGTTTGATTTACGTTGTAATCCACTCTTTCCAACTTGACGACTGAAAATAGCCCTCTCCATACTGTTGTCAGTAATCAAACGATATACGTATGTACGCCTTTTCTGACCATATCTATATATGCGACATACGGCTTGTGCATCGTGACATGGGTTCCAAGAAGCATCAAAGATAATAACTCGACTTGCAGAAACCTTTGAAAATTAAAAGCAAATAAATTACAACAATATATACAAAGGATATTTCATACGATGCTAGAATTAGTCTCATTTGAAACATACACTGCAGACTTTTAACACTAAAAGACAAACGTTTACACTTTTGAAAACAAGAACTATGAAGTTTACGAGATTTATTCCAAGTGATCCAGCCCGAGTTGATATAAGAAAGAGGAAAACATTAGGATCTTGATTGAAGCGAGTTATTAATTTTTCTCTCTCTGTGGCTGTAGTTGATCCATCAAAACCTGAAATCATATTTCTTTAACAATTTAAGCACTAACCAGAAAACTGTATCTTTTAACTGTGATTTCGATTAGTTTAGTAAGGGAAAACTAACGGTAGTAATTGATATTCTTTTTCCAGCGAAGCTTTTCGTTACCAACAGTTATACAGCTCGATGTTTCAAGAAAGCGTTCAATCTGATTGAGAGTAAGAAGACTCTGACTAAAATCATAGGAATGAAAGATACAAACAACCAAGACTTTTGTTAAAAAATTTTAAAAATCCTGTTGGTAAGAAACAAACAAGAAATTTCAGTAGTGTTGAAATCAAATTTTCTTAGAAGAAATTCTAGAAATACCTAAAGAGTAACACTTTTTCACCACTCATCACGGCCTGCTCAATTATAGTTAATGATACTACCATTTTATAACCATTCTCCAAAATACCAGGTTTGTATTCGTGAAGAGCAAATGTAGCCTAAAACGATACATTTGTGTGTTCTGAGTAACAAAGAAAAAAAAATTAGAAAGAAAGATTGAATTATCCTCGTGCAAACTGTCAAATTATAATAGACTAAAGGGTCCAAGTACCATAAATCTCACAAATTTAGACATTGCACACACCAAAAAGCAATTTGAACTTACCCAGTCGTACTTAATTCCCTTATCAAGATTAAGTTCCTCAAGTAAAGCATTAGCGATAGTAGCATGCTTCGAACGAACGCCCATTTTATAAGAAGTCCCATTCGCAGCAGGATGAATCGTGGTCGTATTGTCATTTGCAGAAAATGCTTAAAAAAATTCACAACGCTCAGCAATACAAAGCCAGAAAAGATGAGTAGCACAGAATTACACAAATGAGACATGTCAAACGTTTTTTTCTTAGTAAAATATGAAATTTTGACTTAGAACCGATCAATAACAACATACATGCTATTTGAGATGTCTCTTCCGCTGCTAGACATACACTCCCGGCGTCTTGCAAAATTGTATCCAAATCATCAGCAGAGAATTTCTCGTCAAAAAAAGATTTACTATCATAATTGAAGCTATCTAGCGAAGACTGTAATGTTGTCGGGTCGCTTAATACAGTAGGCAACGTTGACGAATCAATTAAGGCAAGCGACAAAGTTGAATCTGAAGTATTTTCGGATTTATCTCACAATGAATATCAAGATATAATCTGATTACTCTTCTAGTAAAATCTCTAGCAAATACCTTCTAGTAAAACATGCCTTACCCGTCAAATCATTCGTGACTGCTTCTGTTGCTGCAAGTTGTGCATTTCTTTCGCTGATTTCACTTTCACATTCAATCTTTCTCTTTTGGAAAACTTCATATAAGATGTCTGGATGATTCCAAATCTTTAATGAACACATTGACATGCCAATAATCTCTTTGAAATTTGAAAGTGATGCGTAAAATTTTTAGAAAATAGAATGTTTCAAGCATGGAAAAAGTCATAAAACCTAAATGCAAGTGAAAAAAAATAAACCTTTGAACAAACGGCAAATGCCTTAAGTGGATTAAAGACTGCAGTTCCGCTAACATTAATTTCGTTCTGTGCATATTGCAAAAATGCTCGATAAAGCATTCTCTGTATCGGACTTTTACGCAACAGTACAACAAATTCGTAACTCGGCGGAAGGATATTTTTTAACAAATGATGTGTTCGCCTGCAATTTTGTATTACTCTATATGTTGCAAAAAACATGATCAGATTACAAAGAAAAAAAATTCGTAATTTAAATTAGTACCGCTGTACAAATCCTTTCAATAATTCAACAAGGATATGAGTGCGTTGACGGGCAATTTTGAGATCTGACGGCGTAGAGTCTATACAAAGCCCATTCTTTATTGGCTTTTCAAACATAACGCTGAATTCTTTCTTCGAACCCAGATAATGAGGTCTTACAAAATCCACCATACAATAATATTCCATCAAATTGTTCTGTAAGGGGTAACCCGTCAGCACAATCCGACGCCTGAAAAAAATGTCTCATATCATTCTGAAAAGCAACAAATAGAATTAAACTCATAAGAAGCATTTAATTACCCTATTACCCATCGAGAATTCCATTAGCTAGTGAATTAATAGGTTAGTTTGACAGCTGAGTTCTTATTAGATAGCCACTGCATAGTTGTATTTACTGGGCTGGGCACCATCAGGAAACGCAATATGCTTACTATGTATTTATTAATAATCAGCGCAAAAATTTCTCAAATTGAAGCTTTTCTTGGAAAATAATTAAAATACAAAATAAACTTTAATGACCTAAACTGTGTATTAAAAATTTTCGTCCCAATATTTTATTTTTCTCTTTTTCATGAGAAAATGCTCAACCGCTAATCTCAGCCTCGCCCAATGGTGTATGTCCATTATCTTTCGCAAATCTTTTATAGACTACCTTGTCTTTATAGCACTTAAAGCTGCTGCTATGCCTGTTCTTTCATTTTTGATACGATGACCTTCGTCACACACGACCAAATCAGGACCAGGATCCAACAAAGCTTCTCGAGCGGCTGCAAAGTATAGCTTGTTGACAGTTCATCCTCAGTTCTGAATAATGCTCTGGTAATTTTATAAACAGTAAATTCTTACCACATAGTGCTATTGCATCCAATTCTTCCTTTTCCAGATCAACTATTTCTTCTGCTTTCTTGCTGGGTCTTCCAGCAACTCGTTTTTTTGGTTTTATTTGTACCAGTAAACGAAACATATCATAACCAATTAATAAAACTCCTCCTTCTATGTGCCAATTTTCTGAATAACAATAGAATCCATTGAAATCTATACATGAATCTCATTCTCCCCTCCAAAAAAGAATAGCTGAAACGAGCACCAATACTACTTTTTGATTTTTAAAGCTAAACAAACTCATACCAACTAAACATTTCCACTTCTCAAGCAGTTACTTTGCAGCATTTCCATGTTCCTTCACAGATTTACTTCTTATCACTTACTGTGTTGCTTTTTTCTACAACATTTCATAACCGAAATCTAATCTTTATACCATTATAAATTTCAGTACAACAAAATTGTCCTACATCCTCTAACACCCATTCGCTTAAAACATCTGAAAACAAACGTAGTAATTCTGCGCGTTGTTCATTTGTTTTTACTGCATCACCCAGAAGCCAAACTACAAATGGACGTATGTTTTCTCCTGCTTCAGTGACTCTGCTAGAAAAATTAGCTTATAGGAGATTAAAACAAAAAAAAAAGGATGAGGATAAGAGATAACCACTAATTAATTTAGAGGTTGTTAGAGTAAGCGGTGATTAACACTAGTAGAAATTAGGCTAAAAAACTTTAAAAAAAAAAACTACTACGCCTTCCGCATGTAGCTTTTGAGATTTCCTTATTCACTGTTTACTTAGTTTCGTTAGCCATCGCTCATTTCAGCAACAAGGAGTTACTAAAAAATCACTCGGTTTGTACTCGATTATTTCTCACTTCTAGTTTAACCGTTGTTACATAGGCCAATTTGTACAACCGACTTTTAGAGCAATTCTATATCAAAATTTTATATAAAAAACCGTTATTGACCTAAAATTTCAATCTTGCAAAGTAACAAAATGGGATAAGGACAAACCATAAGAAAACCACACTTATTAACCCTCAAATAAAATGAAACTGGATAACAACAATAAAATTTTAAACCAGTCAAAGCAGATATAAAAATCAAAAATATTGAAGAGGATAAAAGAATGAAATAAATAATGAATAGAAAAAAGCCTGAAGAATAATTTTAAGAAAGTGATAAAAAAAACTAACTTAGGCAACCATTTTTCGAACTCAGAATACCAATTCTGTATTGTATTTACCGGTACAATGATCAATATCTTTTTTGCACTGGTCGTGCGAACAAAAACATCCGTAAATGCAATTATCTGAAAAATTTTCTGCTTATTATATTATTCCTTAAAATTTTGCAATTTTTTAGGTCAAAATCATTACCTGAATCGTTTTTCCTAATCCCATTGCATGTGCTAAAATACACCCAAAACCAGGTGATTTCGCATAATCCTTCACACTTTCGATGATATTGCCGTACCTGTAATTCACGTTTTAGAATATATGAAAAGAACATACGAAAGATATATGTATCAAATTAAATCAAACTTCCGGGTTTATGGCTCCACTCAGTTTTTTTTATCAAATAAATAAATCCTGTCTTTCTCATCCTTTTTGACTATTACAAGACTGGAATGAAGACTCCATTTCTATAATAAATGTGAACAAGAAGCTCCAATCAAATAAAAAAAAAGAAACTAACATGAATCGTATGCCTCCTAGCTGATGCGGCTGAAGCACATCATTGAGATGAAAAGGGACATAGACATCCGGTTCATTAGATGCCTTTCCAGGATTCACAAGCAGTCGACCTCCCATTAATTTCTTACTTTCAAGTTCCTCCTCCGTAAGCAGCTTTTTACACAGTCTTTCACGTTCAACACGATGCAGTTCATCGGTTACGTCTTCATGTAATACCTGCACTTTTTCAATGAAGAATTTTTCCAAAGTGCTAAATCAACAATTTAGTGAAAAAAAAGCGATCAGCAAAACACACCCTGTATAACGGTGACCGTCGGCGTAATGGCAGTGGTTGAATTAGATCTGAAAAGTTTCCATCTCAGAAAACTTTGGCAATAAAATGTCTAAAAAGATATGAAAACCCAAAACAAGTCATATCAATTTAAGTGAAAACTTTTAATAACCACTGCTTCCGAAGAATTACCTCTGCCTGGAACCCCATTATTTACATAGGGATGAAAGCCACGATAACTTCGACCCCGATAACGTCCACCTGACATCATGAATGACTTATACAATAATGCACCAGTAGAATAAAACCAAATAATATAGATTTCAAATACCCAACTTTGCATACGTATGCATAAGTATAGGAAATTTGCATAAGCATTTTTTGTTTGAGCCAACAAAGAATTCCTATGCAAATTTTATCGCCACAAAACCTCAAGACATACCAAGCGGACGACAGTCGGTATCGGAATCCTCATCACTACTTAGTTCTATTACATCACCGTCCATAAAAGACGTTGAAGGCTTCACATCACGCAAAGATGACGTTTTCAGACACTTGGATACTGGTTCAAATTTCACATAAGGATGTTCACCGGCATTCAATTTTTCTTTGCACTGTCCTTCTACCAAATTACCTATTTCGGATTCATATATTTTAGAGAGACGTTCTAACCGCTCTCTTTCTCGTCTTTGTGCCTCAGCTGCATCGGACGATACTTTTATTTCATCGAAATCTGTTCTAAAATATAAAAATAGTGGTGTCCGTTCTTTGAAAGCGATATAATACTCAACCGGTTAGAGACCGCTCTTTTAAAGATTGCAGCAGTCACTTCAAACGCATTCGACTGTCTTAAGCTATGAAAACCATGAATTCTAATGAAAATAATGGACGAATGAGGAACCTGATATGCTTCCTTTTGTTAGAACGTGTTCGAGTAGGTAAAGTTAAGGAAATAAGTTCATCAGCACTGTTATTTTTGGTTTCTAGTTCTATTGGATTTTCGTCTTTGATTAGCTCTATTTCAAGCTTCGCTTTCATTCCATTTTCTTCCATTCGCACCTATAATATACGTTTGTCAAACTGGAAAGTTAACCATTGAATCTCTTCAATAGAGCAGCTTTATGGTACCACTTCATCTACCGACATTTCAGATTTATAACTTTGCTGCATATACAAATTTCCATACAAAGAGAAGTTTGGTAGTCAAATGTGAGTTCCATAATGCATGAAAGTGAAGAAATCTCCCAACCACTGCCAGCCCCTGCTAAAATGCTTGTCACCTCTGCTGTCGCACAGCCCACAGCACAAAGGATCCCTTCTGAAGATCTGTGTGAGAATTGCAGCAGAATTATCGTTGTTAATAAGGTGACCGATAGTCGCATTTTGATTAGATTGTCCTGTAACGATTGTTAGTCTCTTCCGGTAGGTGGTCAAAGATGGTGTCCAGAAAGGATTGAAGTGTCTGGTCGAAAATCTGTATGAAAGAAGTTATTGGTTTTCGAATTTGTGTATCTCATTCTATTCTTAACCGATGGTCATGTTGCAGCGACATGAAGTTATTGCCTGAAGGAGAATTGTTAGATGAGAAAAGCTGGAAAAAATTAGCGATGCACACGAGGTGCTCTTTATGTCACTGTCGTGGTTGGAAACTAATGTGTGATAGTGAGAATCCATACGTAATAACCAGTGCTTTTCTTGATGATGTTCTATTTTCGACACCGTGTGAAACATGCAAGCACTCCCTTGGTTTGTTTTCATTCCTCTTAATGAATAAAAGATAGAATGTTGGCTTCCACAATTTCTAATTTCAACTTTTTATGATGTGAAATTAATAGGATGAGCGAACAGACGGCATGGTGAGCCTCTTTTGCAAGTCCACTATATTATTGTGTATCGACATGCAGTCACATTTTTGCTAGGGGATGGATTAACAACGATCATCTTCGATACCTAATATCTTATGTTGTAATTTACAGGACGACATTTAGACAGGTTACGAGAGAAGAAAAAAAATGATATTAGGAAGTTATTGTTGATGATGTCAGATGCAGAAAAAATGCGAGAAAGGCTCATCGGAAACGAACCTTCTGAAATTCTGCAGGTGTTTAGAATAAATTTTAGAACATTCTAACGGTTTTATTCTTTGAATGATTTAAATGTTTTGGACTATTAAATATTCACCTATTGATTTATTCAGCTCAGCAAATCATAAACACTCTTTGCTTAGCAGAATTCATTAGCTGATGATTCGGTGAGCATGTAATATTTGCAGATCGTCCAGCAAACTCAGAGAGCTTTAACGAAAGAAATCAGCAGCGGTAATAGTGAGGGATTAGTCTCATGTTCGTTTGGGTTTCCACCATTTGAGCCTCTATCAATTGAAGACATCGTTTCGAATTTCATTATCAACAAAAGTGGTAGGAAACAAAAGTAATATTTTAGCCTGTTTATTAAGACCGATGAAAGAAAAAAAGCAGTTTTTATACCAAGCATCTGTGAGAACGACAGTGCCCTGACTGCAGCTCCTTTTCCTTTGCGGTCTATTGCGTCCTCACATGCAATAAGCATGGAATACTATTTTTAGAAATGATTCTTTTTAAGGTTTTGTCTGCGTTTTTATTTGTTTTTGAATCGGTCTCAGCAATTTTTTTTTGCCATGAAAACAACATAAAGCAAATTTCAGGGAACTGGAAAATATTGTAGAAACAGCATCAAATTTCTTACTTGCAGTAAATGACTGGAACATACCGCATGTAAGAGTAATGCGGGAAAAATGTGAGAAAGAGTACTTAATTCTCTAAAAAATGATTGAGAGTAATTACACCTCTTGAACTTCTTGTAGTTTATTTCAATATTGTGTTAATAAGAATCAGGAAGATTTGCCAACAGCAGAAGAAACAACTTATTTTCCTCTGCTTTATTCAAATTTGTCCTGGTCTTGAAAAGTTCTTGTCGGCTAATCTGTAAAATTTTAGTGTCATGTTCGAGTCTGTTATCTTATCGTATCATTTATGCAAGATGGTTGCGATTCTGTTCCTTACCCAAGAGGCATGAATCACTTCGACCGTACTGTGTTATTAAAATATTTGGTCGCAAATTTTTAGTCACTTTACTTCCATTCTTCGTAACTGATTTAAAAGAGCGTGCTAGTTTTGTAGATGATCAGGTTTGTTTTAACAAATTTCATATCACAAAATCAAAAGGCAAAGGCATATGCTTATCTTGAAGTTATCATATTCTTTAATTAGTCCTTAATCAATTCTTTTGTAGGTCATCGAAAAAGTGATTAATTTTGCATCCGACTTAACGAAAAATTTGAATTGCAATGACTCACTGACGGATTCATCAGTAATACTTACTTTTCCCGAGGGTGTTCCTCGCCCAAATCTCGAACAGGGATGTTCCATTTGGGCTGCCGATGCTCATTTAGATATATCTGCAGATTTTTTTGAAACAGATGTGGCCTTCCAAGGTTACTTTTTTTGAATAATTTATTTTAATTTTAATGTTTTTATGACAGTAATAAAATAGGCATCATGTTTAGTGCTCCACTGGCATGTTTTGAAAGTTATTGAATTCCATGTGAATCCCATGTTGCCCATATTTGATTTCTTTTCTGGTTATTTCAGAATCTGAACGATCAAATTCAAGCACTCGTCTTGAAATGAGGCGTGATATAGATGAGTCTTTGATGGTGAGATTCATCGCTCGTATGGAATTAACGTATAGGGCATCGAAATCTCTGATGCATAAAATGGATGTTTTTGAAGTAGACGTTGCTAGAAGTGAAGTATCGCGATTAGAGGTGCATTTAGACTTATTTTCGATCTGCGATAATCTTTTTTTTTCGTTTTACCTTCAACTTTTTTCTAATCTTCAGCAAAAAATGTTAAATTTTTATAACATACAGTTTAGAAGCTTAGCATTTCATCAAAGATTGAGGGTTGTCTGAGTACCGACAATTGGATTTGGAGATCTGTAGAAATTTCAGGAATGTAATGGTATCATTTCTTTCCATGTAATTTCAAATAATTTCGACGCGGATCAGAGTCGTCAAAAGTTGACATGGTTATTGCAGCTGCAGTGTTTGTTTAGTACACAACTGCCTCGCATGCCTAAAGAGTATATTACGAGGCTTGTTTTCGATAATCGTCACAAAAATTTGGTCATCGTCAAAAAAGGTTAACTGTTGTAGTATTAGCAATTTTTGAATTAAGAATGCCTTGGGGATTACATCCTTTTTATTTTTGTTTTTTCCCATGGACATTTTCGGACATCTAATTCATTTTCAGAGCGAGGCGTGATCGGAGGTATTTGCTTTAGACAGTTTCCAGCGCAAGGGTTTATCGAAATCGTATTTTGCGCTGTGACTGCAAATGAACAGGTTATTTCGTTGGTTGTTCGGTAATATTTTTGTTAGTTTTCTGGTGATAAAGGCATCGAATTTTTAGGTCAAAGGGTATGGTACTCGTTTGATGAATCATTTGAAAGATTATCATGTGGGGGCATATCACATATATCACTTCTTGACATATGCAGATGAATTTGCCGTTGGTTACTTCAAAAAGCAGGGTTTTTCCGAAAAAATAGCAATGGACAAAAAACAATATCATGGTTACATCAAAGACTACGAAGGGGCAACGTTAATGGGCTGCCAGTTACATCCGTGGTATGCTTTCTATTGTGCGAGCACTTCACGAACTAATGTATTTTGCTGAAAATATCTATCGTTAAAACAAGTTGATAAATCGTAGAATTATACATAATTTTCAGGATAGTTTACACAAACTTTGCGGGATGCTTGAAACGCCTTCACGATCTTTACCTAAATGCTGTGAAAGAAAGTCTTTTCGAGGAAGAAAAAAGATGTCCAGGAGTTGAAAACATCTTCCAGTGGCATGGTATAGTTTCCTTGTGTTTTTATGTGTTTGTTTTATAGTTTATGCTTATCTAAGCACAAGTTATCATGATTTTATTGTTGCATTGCATAATTATCATTATGATTTGGATTTTAAAATAGCTAGTGTGATCATTGTTGTTATAATTTATTTCATCGAGCGCATTATGATCTCCAAAGCCTCGAGAAGAAAAAGTTGCAAATATTCTGCGATATTCTATGCTAACTGTGTACTTTCAAAAATAGTTTTTAGAAGGATCATTAGTTCCGTATTCCGAGTTGCCTGGGTTGGAACAATGTGAAGATGAATTAGTACCACATGAAGAACTTGAACACAAAATTCGAAGTATCCTTCATAAACTGAGAACTGACAAGTCGGCTTGGCCATTTCTAAAACCAGTAAATGCAGAGGAAGTGCCGGAATATTATGGTTATATTAAATTTCCTACCGATTTGAAAACGATGAATGAGCGCTGTAGAGCGAAGTATTATGTGCACGTAAGTCTTTTATTCCACCATAATTACATAAATTACAAGCTTTTCTCAATATCTGAGCATTTTAAACATTAAATTGTAATGCTGTGAAGTACCTGGAAATTCGATACTACACTCAGTTTCAGTTTTTGTTTATAGGAAAGACTGTTTGTTGCCGATCTGCGACGATTATTTAACAACTGTTTCAAATTCAACGCACCTAAAACTTTGTATTATAAAGCGGGATATGATTTAGCAGAGATTGCTCGGAAGCTATGTCAGAAGGCATTCCCATATTTGGATATATATCCAGAACTTCCTAATGCAAAACCCTAAGTGTAGAGCTGTTATTATACATTTATTTCCTCTTCTTACGTAGCGATATTTTTTATTGAGTTATGTTTCAAATTTTTTATGTTGTGTTCCACGTATTATAACGCCATCAGCAGCAACGTGACTGCTTTTTAATCAATATTATAAAAGATTGAGATGAGAAACTCAACTTCCTGCTTTATTGTGTCTTGAGGCACTTTCTAAGATGCTGAAAAGTTTGCCAGGTAAAGGATAGGACACTTATCAGAATAGCTACAATTTAATAAGCTGAAATTGTTTAAATAACGCAGTTATCCATTATTTGACAGATGTGGAAGAAATTATTCTTCATCCCTGTAAAGTCTGCTTG